ATAGCGGTTGTTGACAATGAAGAAGATCCTTAATTGGTTTAATTCTCAGACATTACAGCACTTTTTAAAAAAAAAATATCTTTGGGCAACAGTTCCCTTCATTTCTAAAAAATAAACCTTGTTGTACTCCTTGCAGAGTCTCATTTGTGTTTGGTGTCGTATGCCACGAACAGGGATAAACCCAAGTTAATGACAACCTGGTGTAGTATTTCTATAGCCAATATAACTCATCGATTACTTAATCGCCTTGATTAATTAACATGTCTTGGATATTTGATGACGTATCTGTTGATAAGATACACAGTTGAATTCAAACTTTTTTGTTGCCTGTGGCAATGGTTTTTAAAAACACTCATTTTAAAGGTGATACAGCCGTGACTTCTTTCTGAAATACAGCTTACAAAATTAAGCCCAATCTAAGATTTGGGTGGTCTCCAACTTATGACTAAAATGTACATTTATGTCTAAAACGAAACCTGCAAATATCCAGGTGAAGTCCACTGGTTATCGTATGCACGTGATGGGCGATTAATTGTATCCTACCTCTTTTAGACACAAGATGTTTTCTAGTTAATTTACAATAACAACAATATGACAGCTGGTGCATAAGATAAACCTTCCATGTAGATGTCAGATCTTTTTCTGTATAATAGGATCGATAAATTCTACAACCAATAAACTACACATGTATATATAATTTTCTGCATAAACCATATAACTATCATGAGATACGTGACAATGTAACGATCAAACAGTGTAGCAATATGACAAAATCTTATAAATCAACTTTCAAACAGTTCAAACTAAAATAAAAAGCAATAACAGATTAGATGCAAAATTCAATAAAGAGAATTCGAAAACAAGTACACGAGTATTAAAGTTAATATGTCTCCCGATGTTAGATTAGTGGAAAGACGGCTCCGTTATATATTTTTTTGTGATTTAGCAAAACAGAAGAAGGAATCAGGGAATGGAGTGTAACGGGAAATGAAAAGAAATTGTTCATGAATAGCAAATATTAAGAACTGTATAAATGGAAGGAAAATTGAAATGTGAAAAAATAACAGCAATGAGTTCTAACACGGTTTAAAATTTATTTGAAAAGTTTGAATATCAAAACATATACATTGCATTACATTTATTCAGATCACAAAGAATTACGATGTCCTGTGAAATACAAAGGTGTTGTATTATGTAGTCATATGAATATATCAACATAGCTCTTTATATCACGTTAACATTTGTACATGTCCAAATGTTGAATAAGACAGGTTTCCTAGTTGATGATGGGTATTGTTTAAACAAAATTATTATTACTGACATAAAGGAAATTTTGCACTAAAATCTTTTCGACATACAGCACATTGATGGACAGAGTCAAAACATATTGAAATTATATTGATCTTTTATGTCGTGATTTTCAACTAGCAGCTCAATGACATTATACCCGAGAGGAAGATTTCTAAAATATAAAATATTCTTAATTGTTGGTTTTTGGGATAGAATAGGAGTAAGTGTATAAAAGTTTCAGCAGTTTCTGAAACACACATGATTTTAAGAGAACTATGGTTCATCCTCGGTCGTGTATGGAGAATTAGGATGAACATGATGAATATTGTTATCGGCATTCAAAGACCCCTTAATGTTGGTGACAGGTGGGTTCTCCTTAACCTCGTCAGGAAGAGGATTCCATGAGTCAACAGAGGAGGGTACAATATGTGTAGAGTTTAGTACGACATCTCATCTGACAATAATTATTCGCGTTTCTATTATCATGAACATATATTTCAAGAGGACGAGAAACGAGTGCGTTAATTCAGTAGGAAAGACACTGGCGATGAACATCCTTTTGAAATTCGGCAGTTTCTAAACACAATCTCCTATCAAATCTACGGTTAATCTAGTTACATCAGTGCCGGCTGCTTCAGTTAAATATTTACTAATATTTAGTTTTTGCGTATTGTTATATGGTCCCATATCATGTACAGTAGATAGTTTGAATTTTTGTTCTATCAACAGAAAATTTCAGTTCTTGTTAAGACAATTCTTGAGCTTTGTTAATTATATAATCAACACGACACCCCACCCCACCCATAAGAAGAAATAAAAACACCAAGAGGTACTTGTGACCTGTTACTTCTATTAGTGATGTGTTTACTCATAGACAAAGAGGGGTGAAGTAATTTGTAATTGTTTCAGCTTACTGTCATCGATACTGTCTTCCTCGGGTAGAAATTGACATGCGACCTTTTGAACGACTCGAGAATTGAATTATTTTAGCAATATTCAAGAGATCGGGGTTTAGACCCAGTAAATTACGTTAAGATATAGAGACTATCGTCAGCAAACACTTTTATGATATAATCAATATCTTTTAAAAATATAAAAATGTCCTTCCGTGGAAACAGTGTAACGGCCACCCTTCTCAACCAATGTTTCCACAGCATCAGTGTTTCATTTTTTATGCTGAATTAACATACTGAGCTATCCTTAGAGAGGCTTTCAGATGTTCCTACTAAAAAAAAAACCGACCTTAACATTTTTCAACATTTCCGCAAACCCCCCCCCCCCCCCCCCAAAAAAAAAAAAAAAACAACTCTTTTTTATTTGCTGGTGATCCTCAACAGCACTAGTACCCTGAGGCAAAATCGCCTTAGATACTTTATATATATATATATATATATATGTATATATACCAGCCGATATCAAATATTCTTTCACAAAAAGCAAAGGTGAGATCGGGTATTCCAGACAGGTATACATCTCAACTGAATGTGACGAGATGTTGACCAAATTTTTCTTTGTTATGTTTTATTTTCATTTTATACTCCCTGCAAACAAAGTTTAGGGAAGAGTATAGAGGAATCACATTGTCTGTCCGGCCATCTGTCCAGAAACGTATAAGCCGAACTCCTCCTATGCTATTCGACGGAATTTCAATGAAACTCGGCACTTGAATGTACAACAATTTCAAAATTCATCATGATAAATGTACGCAACACTTATACATACCGGACAAGATGTATTAAACTTTTCCTTATGTAATATTTAGTGGTTCAGTGTCAAAAGCAAGAAAAAAAAACCCTTACAAAAACATTTTTTTAAGCAGGAACAGGAAATAATTGTTGGCCTGCACATCTCATCTGAATGTGACGAGATGTATAAATCAGTTTTCTATAAGATTCTTTCAGTTATCAACTTAGTTTGAGATAAGCTACAATTCCTATTTCCTTATTTACAATCAGTTTACTACATATTGATTTACCCACATACCAGGTAGACCATCTGGACAGATTATACCCTTGATAAATATGTATTTACACATCTAGGTCACTGAAAAGTTGAAATGTTTCATATGGAAGCTTAGTGTTATATAGGAACAGGTCCCTGTCTCACGAATCTTCCTTAACTTGAGGAAATGTTAACTAGCATTACGGAAGTTAAAGAAAATGTTAAATCCTTATGCAATGTTTTTCTGTGGGCAATTTTACCTTAAGAAAATTTAAATAAGGAAGATTCGTGAAACTGGGGCCATACGAATATATCAATGATTACGTTTAACCGTAATCAAGATACGTAATGTGTATTCTGGTCTATGGAATCTTTCTTCTGTATTCAATTAGATCAAAGTAAATCAATTCATGTTCTTTAGTAACATTTGCTTAAAACAGTCACTTTTAATATGCTTAACCTTCCTAAACATAAATTTTAATGCACGCGTAGTTCCTTAATACTGGAAATATGACCTTGTAAGAATTATTAGTATAGGGTGGCAGCATAGCGGGAAATACTTTGAAATGCATACAGATCTAGAGTTATCCTCCTTGCGACGTAACGAGGTTTTCATGGCGGATAGGCCAAATTTTGTTTTCGTTTTCTTACGTTGTTCGTAAACTCACGTGAATAAACTTTATTGCTTCCAATCATTGACTGCTTAGACATTCTTATAAATCTTAAATCTTAAAACAATTAAACTTAAAGCGAAATTACGCCGTCAAATTCATTTTTTGACACGTTAAGTCCAAGTCATTCAGTAAACTTGAAGGGATTCTCTGACTGTGCGTTGTAACTTTAATATCTTTGAAGAAATCATCAGTTACTTTTGAGATGACGTAGAGATATTCCCAGTATTTTGATATTATGGAACAAAGAAATCATTCGGTGAGGGAAAACATCGTCATGTCAAGTTTTTGGGGAATATTTTGCGGTGACAATGGATTTTTTACCATGGTATCTTTTTCCGCCCTTGAAAATCATTCTTGCTCAAATATTATGTATATTTCTCTATAAAAATGGACTAAATACACCAGAAATGTAACTAAAACCACAAGAGTTTTGATAATATTTCTCACTTGCTTCACAAAACACCGGTCCTACTTAAACCAGCCCGCAGACGCCCACAGACACCCGCAAGGATACATTGACGCCCGCAGGCGTTGTGGATACAATAGTTAAGAAATGAAGTTATATAATGGTTATTTTTACTTAATTAAACCCATCTGTAAAATTTCGAAGGGATTTCTCACTAATACTGCACAAAAATAACCAATATTAACATAACTAACAAAAAGAAACCCTTATATTATGTTTAAAAAAGTGTATGTACATAATTATAGACTATATCAACCGTCTAGAGGAAAATAGAGCCAAAATCTGAGTACTAAAGGTAAGGGGGAAAAAGTTTAATGCGATGATAATAAAATTTAACGTATTTTCGAGGATATCGAGGAGATAATGTAATATGTACATAATTTGATGATATTGAAATAAATTACAAATTATGTAAACAAGAGATCCCAGAGGGATCCTCGCGCCCACCGTTGTTTGAACTTCATTAGAAGTGACCAAAGGGAACATACGTATGAAATTTGAGAAAGATCAATCTAGTTTTTTCTTTTTGTAATAATAAGTTATTTACCGATACTGTCTTATGAATGTGTGGATTCATGTGTACGTTTTAAAATTGCATTTAGTTCACAAAGTTGAAACTATCGTATATACTGGATGTTTTACCCAAATTTATTGAAGGGAATTCATCGAGAAGCGACGTTTAACGTTTCATACTGCTGATACATCCCTGAGGGTTGTGACATCAGGGTTCCTCCAATAGCACACAAGTCTAATCCATCACATGAATGAAATGATTACAAATATACCATTGCTTGGTTTAAGGAACGTATATAAAATCTCTGGCAGTGTTAGGGCTTTTTTATGCCCAGTAAGACTCTTCAATAGCTGGTGACAGTTTAAAAGCCTTCCTCAAAACCATGGCAGCCTTATCGCATTCTCCAAAAGCCTGTAAGTAATGTATGAATATGTTACATTGTATTAACAATTTATGTATCAGATCAAGGAAAGACTTTGTTGAGATACTTACTCTATCATTTTAACACAAGAAAGTGACATGTGTTACAAAAACAATATTGTTTGTAAAAGCAAATGAATGAAAAAATTATACCTCAAGTTGTTCAGCTTCCTTTATCAGAGCAAGTGCTTTTTCTTCATTGTCATCAATTTTGTCCTTGCTGACCTTTTTAAACATTATATCCGTTCTTAAAATGTATTTCTTATTATCCCTGAAAACAAAGAATGAAGTGAGTGGTGTGTTGTTATTGTATAATGTAATTGCACGAAAATTAAACACAACAATGTCTTTCATTTGACCAGTCTTGCCTTTGGTCCCTAAAACTAGCTCAGCTGCGTGTAAAACTTTTTTTAACACTTATCTGTTAGCAAAAACACTGGCAGGGAAAAATAAAGGTATACTTTCTTCATTCATCAACACATGTGAGACGAAGAGGAAATGGTCCTCTATCGCCATTGCTTAACAAGAACGTCACAAGTTTATAACTGATTTATATAATAATTCGTTAAGTTAAAGCAGACAACGTACCAAAGTTTCTGGCCCTCGTGTAGACGATGATGGTTAAAAATGATAGCCATGCCGGCCTCCGGCTGGACCTTACACAAGATGTTCTTCTCTTCTGCACAATATTTCCCTGTTTCATCCTAAACATTCATATCATTTACGCAATATTAACAAATATTGCTAAAAAATAAATGGCACAAAGACATAGCCTAAAACCTAGTTTGAAGATTTTTGTTTGACTATAATAGGTCATTGATGAATTTTGTCATTACCTGGCTCTAGAACGAATAGGCAATAAAATAGAAATATACCTCGGCATACCGCTCAGTCATTTAAAAATCAAAAGACTTACACAATTTACACACAGCTCGATAAGAATTGAGAAATTTAAGCATTGAGGAATGAAATGCACTCACGACCAGTGTTATAATTTTGAGGTTTTATGGTCAAAGTGATCTCATTGAGAATTTTTTTTTCTTTGTAAGATAAGAAACTGGGATTATTTAATGCTCCAGTATTTCTTAAGAAATGGCAATAACGAATTCCACTACACAAAGATCCATCCAGAACTTCCCAAGAAAAAGCAATAATAAACTAAATAGCATTAACCAACTTTCTTTTTCAAAATCAAAGATGGTCGCCGGTCGGCCATTTATTTTTTCTGATCAGATCCAAAATTTAACCGGCAACTAAAGACCAAGGGGACCTCACATATGAAAGTGCGAGATTCATCCATTACTTCTAGAAATAGCGATTACAAACTCCCAAAGTCAAAATCAAAGATGGCAATCTGTCGGCCATATCATTTTTCTAAAGAAATAGCGATAACAAACTTTTTATTAGACTCCAAACCCGTCGGCTACAACTAGGAACCAAGGGGACCCTTCGAATGAAATGTGAGAATGATCCATCCAGAGCCTCTCAAGATATAGCGACAATGATAACGGATCGACCACGGACGTGGAGCGATCGGAATAGAGATGGTGGGCTAATAATGTTAAAATATATAATCTCTTTGTTTTTCCGTCGAATAACTTCAATTTTCAAGATTTCAATCAAATTTAGTATATTGTATAAGTCTCTGTAACTTTGCCGTGTTTTCTTTGCTGACTACAATGCTCCTTAGGGAAAAAGATGCATGTGTCAGTGCATGTACATGCTCAAACATTTATGTATCTCGCCGGTATACCAAAACTTAGACTCCCACACAACGTTTACGTTATGGGCAGTTTTATTGCGAAAGTCAGTTTCTGATTATAAAGAAATAATCCACAATATAAATCATAAAATGAATTATAACGCTTATGACGAAATTGATGGATTAGCCCTCGTATACCACCACTCTTGAATCTGCGGATTAATTAAAAAATAATAATAAACAAACGTTGAAATATTCTCATAAACAGTAGCACTAAACACTTTTACTTGCCATATGGAGTGTCTGGCTCTCGTCTACAAAGTTGGTGCTACCTCCGGTGAAATCTCCGTTGAGGTAGACCATCAGAGTTTTCATGGACCGGTGTTTCGAATCCTCCTCATAGAACCCATCAAAGTGAGGTGCAAAATGACCACCGGGATGATAACGACACAGACGGAATAACTGAAATCAAATAATGCCAAGGTTTCATATTTGTTTGGGAACCGTTTACTTTTAGAACATAAAACCAGTAAGTATTTTTGTCAAATTACTCTTAAAACACGCACACACACAATCTTTTTCAATGCCACACATCTTACTCATATGCTTCAGATGTATAAAATAAGATTTCATTGAATTCAATCAGAAAACGACAATTAGTTTAGCTATATGCACAATGTCAAAACAAGTGAGTAACAAACACTGATCCTTGTGTGAATACATATTTTACTATCAACCTCAATATTGCCAATTTAGCTGAGGATAAACATAACTGTAGTATTGCTAAAATTAATATCGCATTAAGGTATAGCAAAAGACAGAAATGCAATCATCATATTAATCCTAAACATCATAGCTTCTCAGAATAAGAAAATGATGTTGAATATTCATAATTAATCAACATAACATAGCATATTGCTGTTAATCCGGACATCTGGCTTATTTTTGTGCCGCCTGCCAAAGTCGACATATATGTATTACTGTCGCGATGTCGTCAGCACAAGGAATTTTTTCTCGATAACTTTAACCGATTAAATTCAATCTTTATACAGTGCTTCCTTACAAAAACGATTGTTGGGATTTCTTTTCAGATCCGAAGGTCAAAAGTCAAGGTCACTGTTGCTGTAAATAAGATTTTTTTATTCGCGACAACCCGAGTACACTTTAGCCGATCTACCTCAAAATTCTTCATACAGCGCTTCCTTACCAGAAGTGCTTGCTTGGGTTGTTTTCAGGTCCAAAAGTCAAAGTCAAGGTTACTCTTACTATAAATAGATTTTTTTTCATGATACCAAAGGAATTTCTTTTCATGTTTGAATGTCAAAGGTCAAGGTCATAGTTACTATTAATGAAAAAAAATGTTTTCGTACAATAAACCTTACCAAATGTCCTTGCTTGTGATTGCGTTTTAGGTCAAAAGGTCAATATCCTTGTAGTTGTAAAACGAAAATTGGCTTGTGTGAGTACAGGTTTTCTTTGGTAAATTAGAATCAAACTTCATACAATGCTTCTTAACCAAAGGAGCTTGTTTGAGATTGCTTTTCATGTGGGCTGTCCCTTTTTCTGTCGTATTTGGAGCAAAACAAATTATATAAATGGAACAAATACAATGAGCATCTATGGCTATTGTTCCAGAAAACGCATCTCCAGGAATCTTGCTGGGCAGGCGACATATCCACTTCCGTGGAATTCTTATAATCTCATAACTCTGGAAAACACACTTTCCGTCCTTACTACTACTATCTGAAATATTTCATTGTGGCCATTTTTTTAAAATTCTATCATGAAATTCAACTTCGGCTTTCAATCAGGAGTTTTGTTTCGCAGCATACCTTGTTGAGTCCAGTTGGGACCCATTTGCCTTGGACCACGCATGGAATACCATGTATATGTTGGGAATGTGGATCACTGGAAATGTCTAGCTCCTCCAGACATGACTGTATCCTGGTCCAAAGCAGGTCAGCCAGGGACTGACTTTCTATCATGATCCTGTGTGGAACATTACCGGTAAATATTACATGGAAATAAAAGAAAAAAATTGTGTATACTGATAAAACATTATTTCTACATTCCTATAACTCCCTAATGTGGTCATGTGTCGGTTAATGTTTTAACATATTGTTTCCACCTTACGTTACCTGGAATCAGCTAGATAAAAACACACTATGAGGTTTCTTTCATTGTAAAGTCACTGTTAGTGTTTGTGCCAAACGCTTGTCAACCACTGCCAGAGGAGTATTATTTTATATATAATAATATTCCGTCACGGACTCATAGTTATGTGGCCTTCGCTTCGGTTAACATCTCTTTGTCAGGTTAATTTGTGTTTGTTATTATCTTTCTCGCGCCTATACATACAGTGTATTTTAACCACATTGTTTATCCTAACAATGGTAAATGACAGAACAATATAATTTTTGCAGTTACCTTTCTCAAACATCCATTAGTATGTTAACATTTTATGAATTTCAACTTTCAGTTTCATTTTCTAAAGATATAGCAGGATAACATGACAAGCTTGTTTTGGAAAACATTTTCACGTTTATGATAATACAGAAGCTCGGACTTGAATAAAAACAGTACTGGTATTTGTAAGTAAACATGTACAAGGATAGGCAGTTTAATCTGCGGCAAAACTGAGATACACGCCGGAAACATATTTTTGACTCCAGCAATGTTGAATCACCTAGAGTAAGACATATAATATAAAAGATACGGAATCATTTCAACTGGTTTTAATGTACAGTGACAGAAAATTTTCAATAAACGTCACAAAAACAAGGAGAAATTCCAAACGCACAGAGATATGATAGTTGAATTGTACATGTATTTCGAATAATACAGAAAACAAGCTAACAATGCTTTTCATAGTGTCTTTCCCCCTACCTCTGGGCGCTTCTGTAGTTATCTTGGGCTCCGCGTATTTCTCCAAAACCTATTTTCTCTCCCCCGTCAATGATAGATGCACATTCTGTCGGCGTTAATATGTTATGTAATAGAAAACCTTCGTTTCCGAAGTCCAGGATTTCGGACCGTCGTACGTCTGCTTGTGAGTGAGCAGAGTCATATTTCACGTCTAGAGTGTGGCAGTCTTGTGATTCGCTACAGATCTTACCTTCCTCCGTACCGGCCTCAACACCGGGTATATATTCTGTCGACATGCTGTCACATCTTAGAACTGAACCAAACGTAAACTGGCTTCAATTAGTAATGATCATGACATGTAGTTGTGCAACTATGTGGTCTGTTTATGTTCCGGTTGTAACAGGCGGTGTACACACAAATTTTTACCTCCGGTAATTTTATACCGTTCAAGTCGGATGAGATTCATTATAATTTATGAATTGGATTAATTATCGATATTTAGAGGATGTATTTTTTAATATGTTTTCACGGTATATGATATTGTCTATGGGTGTCGCAACTTAATTTTCTAGTAACGTTATCTTATTTGCAGTATAACAGATTTTGTTACAAATTATTGTGTTAAAGCTGACTATGCTGTCTACTTCATTCAGGTAAATTTACTCTTATTCACATAAACTGATCTGGCACAGTCAGTCTGAACAAAATGTCTTCAAAATATATGTTATTCAAGAAAGAAAATATAATAACAATAATAATTATAAATATAAAAATGCTAGTTTACAATTGGAATTGACAGTCGGAGAGCAACCGAAAGCTATACATTTTATAAAATTGAGTTGAATCATTTATTTGACTTAAGCGTTCTGAAATTAATTTTTTTCATAATTTCATTCTTTAATAGAAAAATGTTTAGAATGGCTTTCGTGATAAAAAAAAAAAGTGGTCGTTGTATTTAATTTTTCATAGCGTTTACTCCGATGTCTTTATTTATTCAAATATCAAGAAACAGAGAGAAACCTTGATCCATACAGTAAGCATTCACGTATGTGATTTGTGACGGTAATTCGTACAAAAGTTTGTTGGTTTCTGCCCAAATCTTCCAGAGTAATAAATGTACCCAAGAGAAATATCAGGACAACGAAAAAATTTTAATTTGTTTACGTTAAAAAACGAATCAGGGCGTCACATTTGTATACCTCTTCACAAAAAAATGTACATCACAGAAATAAACATACAGAAGTTATGACAAGCACTTCACTGTTGAAAAAAGTACAGCTATTGATAACGTAGTATATATATATATAAAAACAAAACAAAAGTCTGATATCAGGCTGGAATTTATTTTATATTAAGTTATGTCGTACGTCCAGTCAAACATGGGTTAAATAGAATCAGCAGAGTAAAGCAGTGAATACAACTGTTTCGTTTGTCTTGGACTCGTCAGTAATGCATAGGGTCAAAATTTTGTAGCGATAGAGAGTCCAAAGTTATTTATAAAATTTCTAAATCAAGTTGAGAAGGTGCACAAGCCCCATAATTCTGTAAATTTCGGAGACCTGGTTTATCTAACAATTTTGAATAATCCGATTCGTGAATCTCATTCTTCCCAGAGTGGTATAAGAAAAAACAGGGTTATAAATTGTATATTCACCGCCTGTTTAAAACAGGAACAAATAGACTAAGATTGCTCTACGATTGTTTAATGCTTAAGTGTGACAACATATCGACGTGAAATATGATCGCTTTTGAGACGGATGCTGAGGGAGGTTGGAAATATAGATGTAGCTGTCGCCACACTCTAGACGTGAAATATGACGCTGCTCACTCACAAGCAGACATACGACGGTCCGAAATCCTAGATTTCGGAAACGGAGGTTTTCTATTACACAACATATTAACGCCGACAGAATGTGCATCTATCATTGACGGGGGAGAGAAAATAGGATTTGAAAGTATACACGCAATTCGACATATCTACAGAGGATCTCAGAGGTAAGGAGAACACTTAGTCAATCAATGAAGTTTCATATGAGTATTATCCGGACCTCAAAGTCAAGTGTGATATAAGTTTTAAATATCCAATTGTAAACACTAAAACATCACGATATGAACCTTTGAAGGCATATTTCATTGGACTAGGAAAATGCAGTAACGAAAAAAAAAAAAAACAGAAACAAAAGCAAAAAAACAAAACAAAAACAAAAACAAACAAAAGCAAAAAAAACAAAAACAAAAAAAAATCGATATTTTGGTTTCTGTATTCTTCAAACTACAATTTTCATCATACTTAAGTGTCATTCACTCTTATTGTCCAGTGCGTTTTGAATTTCCCTTATTTGTGGGACTTTTTGGTCATTTCCTGTCACGGTATATTAAAACCAATTGGTGATCATTCGTTTATTCATATGATTGCTTAATGTTATTTTACACGTACATGTTGAAATTTGGTGGAATGAAGATCGCTGCATACGGTTTATCTAACTAAGCATTACACATTCGTCTGCACTCCTTTTCAGTTATTGGCCATTTATTTTAAATTATTAACCAGTAATTTTTATTGAATGCATGCTCTATTTCGTTTGGTAATTTGAAATATATTGAAAAGAGAGTTCTATTTTAAAAGCCATGAATTTGTAAATTAGTTATAAATATATTCGTCATGCTAGTGTTTTACCAGCTGTTTCTAGCAAAAAATATCAAATGACAACATTTAAAATTACGGAAAAGTAGACCTAATTTGTTACGATGCATTGGCATATAAACAATTGTTTTTTTCCGAATTTCTTGCATGCGTCTTTAATGTTCTATTTACCCGTAATGTCCTGAACAGGATCACGATAGAAAGTCAGTCCCTGGCTGACCTGTTATGGACCAGGGTACAGCCGTACCTGGAAGAGCTAGACATTCCCTGTGATTCACGTTCTCAACATGTACACGGTGTGGTCAAAGACAAATGGGTCCCAGTCGGAGTCAACAAGGTACTCGGCGAAACACAGGCCACACACACGACCATCCACGATACTCAAGGGGTTACAATCACTTTCGCTCTGTACCTTTGGGACATGTCATAGTTTAATTAAAGGTTCCATGTGTAACACCATGTGGATAAGACGAAAAGGCTAGTATGATCATTTGATGTACATTAAAACGAATTCCAATGTCACTTATATTGTAATGGCTTTGAAGTTGGGTTTCGCTTGTTTGAAATCTCCAAAAGGAGCTTATTAGCCTGTGATTGGTCAGTTTTTTTCTCCTGGAACCAATCAAAATACATTGCTTATGCCTTTAATTTTCCAATGACGTGTCCCAGGGATGTAGAGAGAGAAAGTGCTCGTAACCACTAGATTAACGAGGATGATACACGACATACCTAAAGCGATATTCAGGATAATCTTGCTTAAAAACTGAAATTAAGTATGTCTGTATTCAATTGAATATGGTCATACACATATAATTCAGTTTCTAGAATCAAGTAAGGAAAGTGAACTTTCCGGAGTAGTAATTAAAATTTAGACTAGCCAGTGTCTGGAATAACGACAATATATACAATATACGTACTGTTGACAGATTGATGCGTTCACATATCGTGTGTTCTGAAGAACACGAATATTTCATGTGTAGCCTATTGTCTCAGCTGTACCTAAATATAATGTTAGTTTTCTTTGTAATATAACAATCTCTGTTGATAACCTTGTTCGAGTTCAACAAAATCTCGACATTATTTTGTATTTTATGAGTAAAGTGTGGCATGAAAGCCAGATAAGAGGGATTTTACATTTTAAATATGTTTGTTTTTGTTGTTGTTAATCCCGAAAAAGAGCTACAGTATATGAAAAAATACATGACGTACTTAATGTTATAAGGTAAGCGTCTCTCACCAGATATACATTTTTGGCATTATTAACATACAATAGTTCAACCCTACGTTTGATTTCAGTCATTCGGTCTTATTCGGTATAATCCTATTGGCCATTTTGCTCCTCAATTTGATTGGATCGAGCAGAATTCTGAACATCGGTCCATGAGAACTTTGATGGTCCACCTCAACGGGGATTTCCTAGGAGGCAGCACAAACTTTGTAGGCGACATTGAAACACTCTTTACGGTATGTTAAACAATTTCATGTGGATTATTTTGACTTTAATCCTAATTACTATTTGGAAGTTTTCTCGATAGATCGGTTCGTACATTGCAGAGAAATGAAATACGAGGGCCATTCAGTTTTAATCCTGGCATAAGTCTTAAATCAAATTAATGATTTGTATTGTTCAATCTTCTCTTGGCAGAAACGACCAATCTCACTATCCATAACGTAAATGCAAATGTTACGTGGTAGTCTGATATTGAAGTCTCCAACTAATGGCGTTTACATGTCACAGTTGATTCGATATTTATGGGCCTGTTACCATGCTATCATGACTTTTGTTCAAGAAATCGTCATCTTACAGACCGGGTTTCAAAAGATGCAGGTTGATCTCATTGAGAAATATTCTATGTCTTTGTGCGATTTGACGTTGGACATGTTTGATGCTCGGTAGTTTGCATGTTGGTTCCGTTGTTGTACACTTTGTTCAGATTTGGGAACATGGCAAAACTTATTTTCCTTGTCCAAGATTTACATGGCAGGTGTCGTCGATGAAGCAGAAGACGTTTACTCGTCCGGAACACCTGGTCTTACTCTGCTAGTACTTTTTCAGGAGTCTCCGTGTATGTCATTCTTTTTTCACATTCCCCTATTTTATTGAATTTGAGTTTGGATTGTGATTATGTTGCCATGTTGGTATTTTCAAGATGTTTGTTGTCTTGATGGTTATCTAAAACAAAAACAAAAATTAAAAAAAAAAATTATCGGAATCTCAATCGGCATTCCGTCACCAATCGGAATCATCATGCGAGGAAAATAGGAAGAATAGATTGATGAAATGTTATATTAAACAAGAGGCATATAATCTAGCTCGGATTCTGATGAACTTAGTCTTCATGATAATCTATATCAGTATGTATTGTTTATTTTTATTCTGTCATCAAAATATGTAAGAAATTAATGAGGAATCGTGGCATTCTCCATGGCATTATTTGAAAAGGATAGTAAGGCATGATAGCAGCATGATCAAATTCTCCCTACTCGACACGCACACAAAAATAATTTCATGGACTCATTGACGTTATAAACTTCAACTTTGTAGCCGGTTAAAATACACGTGAGGTTTTTCCCTGTTCAACAACAAGTTACAATGCTGTACGTCGGAATATTTTTTTTCTATTTCGGCAGCACTAGGATGTTTCCATTACTTTTTGCTAGCTCAGAAATCACACGTCCGTACATTATTGTGATATAAACAGAGCGAGTATAGTGTGTTCCGGTCAGTGTAGTTCATAACCCATGTTTTATACACATATCTCCGATGTTTTATTTCATCTGTCGCTTCCAAATGTTAAGTTAAATAAAATATGTAAACTGGATTAAAATAAGTTTGAAAGGAATGTTCCCCTACCTATAAGTTTCTAAATACGGATGCGCACTAGTAAGCGGGTTATTTTTTGAGAATTTGTTCGAGTCCCTGACTAGCACGTTTTATACGCCCGTCGAATTTCAATGGACTTGCTATGGTATACCCGAGTCGTCCTTCTGTCTATCAACAAATGGTCAAGGTTTTGGTGTAGGTTTCTTCAGTGGACTACAGTTCAGTCAGATGGTGTTTTATTGGCCTTACTTGTGCCACGAATATTTTTGGTGGGTCTAATATCAATGATATTGACTCAAATTTCAAATCTTTTTACAGATTTTTGCTAACCCTTCCGTTCCTTTAGTGATCTTCCGGTCACGATGAGATGGATGTTATTATGGCGTCTATCAATAATGATATGAATTCGACTGATAGAAATACTTTTTCCCCAATATTCAATGGTCTACATTTCATTAAATTAATTTCATTTTTCAAAATGATTAACATGTTACTTTAGGAAGCTTTGGCATTAATGTTTTTCTTAGGTCTAGGATGGATGGATTCAATATGAGAAAATAATTGAAATATTTATGCATTTAGACACGAGTTCCAGGTACCTTTAATATTAACAAATAAAAAAATGTGTTAGTATGGCAAACTACTGACACGCTATAATCGGAAAAAAGCCATGCAAAACTTGCTTGGCGCTCTTTATACAGTTGACAATTGCTGGCCTTGCTTGAGGTTTGGACAACCATTGGTTATTATCTAGCACATGCACTAAAGCTACTCTCTCTTGATCTGTATGTATCTCGAAGATTTTTCTTGACTTAACATATTTTTTAGAAGGTTTTTAATGCAAATCAAGCGCCACAATGCTTGTTGTTCAATTTTGTGCTGGCTTCTGAAATGCTAACTATACCAACATTTTCGGAAACTGTAACGACCATCCATCGTAACACAAACCGCACAAAGCAAACTTCTATGATGTCGCCATTGTGCGAAAATAGCACGGCACTGCACTGTATGTAGGACATGGTGCAGCCGTTTTAATCGATGCTTTCACAATAGCAATGTCTTTTCCCGCCTGACCCTGTTTCCTGCTTCATGTTATTTTATCATTCTTAATTTACTGACCCGCCTGAGAATTTCTTAAAGAGCCAGCAAAAGTGTCGCCTGTACTGCACATCTCTACACGATATCTGTTTTTGCTGTGTATGTAAATATTGTATTTCAAAGTCACTGGTCATCAGTGCTAAGTTAATATCAAGCTGAATTTAAAACTTGCACGCTAATTGATATTCAGTTGTTTTTGTGGTGAGCAAAACTGCTATGTTATCATATTGCCTGATCGTACAGAAAGTTGGTAGTGACAGATTTTATTGAATGACCTTCGTATTATGGTTAAACCAGTGGCTCTGCTCCAGGTAATTTAGAGCAGGTTATTGTAATTTTGTGTCAGTTTATTTGTATGATATGAATGTTTAGGATGGAACTGGAACATGCTCTGCTCGAGAGGAAGACTCCCTTTTTACGATCCAGCCGGAGTCCGGTATGGCTATCATATATGACCATGGTTGTCTAGTCGAAGGCCAAAAGCCTGGGTACGTGTTGTCTGCATTTAGTTAGTAAATAGTTACAGAGACCAACTGTATACTTACATGTATGACTTTTTTGTCAAGCATGAGAAATGCATTCCATCTTTGTCTCGAATGTGTTGAAGTATACCTGTATTTTCCTTGCCGCTGTTAATTCACCTTTGAAATTTTGTGTTGGACAGCAAAAGCGAATTTTAGATCAATTGTTCAGCACAGAATATTTGTACACTAAATTAAGCTGGTTGTAGGAACTAAAGCCTAGACTGGCTATATGAAAGACTTTTTTGTTTATTTTTCCGTGCATTTTCATTATACAATAATAACTCACCACTGACCTTACTACTTATTTTCAGGGGTGATAAGACATACATTCTACGAACGGTTTTAATGTACAAAAGACAGCAGGGACAAAATTGACAACAAAGAATTAAAAAGCACTACATCTGACAACAGAAGGTGAAGAACTATCTTTATCTTTTATAGTAAACAAACCAGTTTTCTTTTACTTTGTATTCAAACCAAACGGTTTTGGCCATTGCGTTTTTAAACAAAGCTGTTTTCAACATTACGTTTTCTTATGTTAAATGATAAGAGTCAGTATCTCAAAAACACTTTCCTTGCACATATGTGTAAATTATTGTTTCTTCCATGCTTTGAGAGAATGCGATAAAGTTACCATGGTGTTCAGAAATGCCTTTAAATGGCCATCAGCTAGTGAAAAGTCTTACTGCGCATAAAACACCTAAATGCATTCTTGGATCTTCTATATATTCCTAAGCAACGGTTTATTTGTATTTATGGAATATCCATGTGATAACTAGCGGGGTTACGGTTTATATACATAGGTAATTTTACAGGTGTTTTTTTCTGGTCCAAACACTAATGTGGTAACCATTAGAGATGCAGAGACAGTAGGAAATGTGTAATGCCGCTCACCGATGGATTCATCTCAATTTATTTAACATGGCAAGGAAGTGGTTGTCTGCAATAAAGACGCAGGATAATATCTAAATGATGTAAAGCATATTGGGAAAAACCAAACCTGAAGGAGGATATAATGTATCTGAATTGGTATTTGATACGAAAATGAACTTGCTCATTGTCGGGCTAGAGACGAGACGAACGTGTGGCTATATACCTTCATTGGTCTATAGTTCTATTGGTATTTTTAATTATTGTGAAAAGGAAAAATGACTACACATCAGAGAAAGACGTTGTACAATGATGCATCATATAACTGTCACGGTGATTTAAGCTTAGAAGTCTATTAATATTTACTGATAAAACACTTTAACTTTATTGTGATATGTGACAATTTTTTTATTTATTATAGAAAAATATATATTTTTCTGTGATGATGCAAAATATGTAATTGTCTATATCTAAACTTATACAATTTTTTGTCGATTATTGACAGGAAATGAAAGAATGCCTTTGAATTATTATTGTATACTTTGAAACCAACAGGAAAATTTGCCAACGGGTTCTGCATTCAAAATCAAAATTTAAGATTTTTACACGAAAAAAATGTTGAAAAAGACCAAAGTAAATCTAAAAATTTCCAGATTACTGGTGTTAACAACATGTGACTCGGTGCCATGGGTTGACGTGCTAAAATGCAATGAATTAGCCTTTGATATTGTTCTTCTGAGATGTCATGCGTCCTTTTCTATTGAATTGCAAGCGCTAATGCGAGTCAAAATGTTTAAGACCATGGAACCCTATATCCAGCATCAGGTTAGAATGTGTTCATTGAAGTTGGTGATCAAAGAGTAATAAAATACTGAAACTGAACTTTGATTGTTTTATTATTTTGTTTAAAAATTATCACAGCACACATTACTGAAACGTATGCATCAATACTAACAACTAGTCTATTTTCACAAGCGCTGACCAATGACAACTTTCCCAAAACAACAACGGTATAGTTTTCAGGAACTTTGTTGTCAGTATTAATACTAAATGTGATAACTGATAACTTAGGACCTACTAAGCACGGAGGACAATGAAGTAACTGTTGTATTCAAATATCTATATCTCAATGGACATTTATCATACTCGTCTTTTTTCATTTGTGAATGTGAATATAAGGTGTCTGTTGACAGGTTACCAACTGACAGATTACTGTGGTGTCCACCGCAACCTTCATTTTTGCTGCCAATGAACTTAATTGTTAATCCAACCAGCTGTTCAAATGGATACCATTTAGCTGGGAGGTAATCCCATGTTACACAGTGATATGATACCCACCGAATGGGAGGTTACATTCGCTTATTTTATCTGCTATCAGTACATAAATATCGGGATAACTGGGAAAATCCTCTTCAGCCAGAATATTTTAAGATCGGCGACTCTAAAGATGAATGGTAATTACCCATTCTATGAGTGCAGTCATGTCTCATTTTTAACTTGGCCTTGATGACGATGTAGTATCCTCGAGTCACAAGTCCCTCGCCGTCCAGTCGATATCATGAATCAAAGAAATACTACGATAAAGGTGTTAATTGAACAATAGATGGGTTCTGTTTGTAAATAACACTTCGAATTATGCAAAATTGTTCAAAACATCTGAACATCGCATTTTCAAAGAATACATATCGTTATATAACGTTGGATACAAACATAAAAATATACTGAATTTCTTCTATGAATCTCAATTAAATTGCCTTTCACTACTTTTGTTTAATATCCACGACGAAGGGCGATATTTCCATGAACGAAGTTTTTCCTCGGGAAACACCTATTGCATTGCCCTCGTCTTTGGAATTAATCTTTTCAACAGAATATTCATGTTATTAGTGAAGTTTGCACAAACTTCTATTGAATGTTCAACACGATAACAGAAACATTCTTCCTTAATTCATAATGACTTGAATCTGAGAGTAATAAACTTCTCAACAACCTATTTGGAAGGTTTGGTTGATGACACTTGTTGTATACTCATGTTTAAATTGGGAAATTGTCCTTTTTCAAATTATAATAATAACTATCAAAGAAGTGATACAAGTAGTCGAAAGAAGGTCTCTTTTTAGGCTTAACGTCCCATGTACGCATCATGATGTTGTACACAGGTTGGGGGCAGTTCCTTGGAATTGGCATTCTGTAGCCTTTCTCAATCTTCTTTAGAATCTGGTCACTTCGTATGCCTAAGGAAAACAATACAAAACAGGTTACCGATAGCGAACAAAACATTCGTGTCAGGAATTATCATCAATTCATTTACATTTGATTGATTATGTTTATTGAAATTTAACTGAAGTTTAACTGAATGACAAGTTGGCTTACAGCCCTGTTAAAACTTATATCGTATATAAACATAGTTACATAATTATGATTAAAATTAAAATTAAAGTTGCACATCATATCAGAAGTAACGAAATAATAATACATCTAAATGTTAAAAGTCTTCAATAATTCCGATTTAGGGCAAACTGTCAAGTCTGCCATATATATATCGATATAACGTGGAATTTTTGCTATAAGAAAGGGTTTCGTCATGCGTCAGCTGGCATACACATGGAATAAAACATAACTGCTCCGCTTTCTTCCATAGACATGTAAAACTATTAAATTTACACTCGCAAAATTGGAAATCAAGGCAATCTACATCAGAAACAAAACTCGATCTTTTCCTTCAACGAAACATACATGGACAGCTTTCCACCAGGCTCTATGATAAGCGTGATTATTTCAATTTCCCTACTGTAAATTTCACATTTCTGGAGAGAAACATTCCTGTGGTGTTTAAATGTCGCAGTTAATTCGATATTTAAAGGCATATTCCGGTCATCTTCTGTAACACCTGGTCTAATTTTTCCTTGTACTTTTTCAGGGATATCCATTGCCTTTAAAGACATCCTTTAGATTCTTGGATTCCACTTTAGAATTGCTTGTTAACAATCCACTTACCAGCATAAGGCACTTGTCCGTACGTGATTATTTCCATTAGTAGAATACCGTACGACCACACATCAGACTTCATTGTAAATTTGCCTAAAAAAGCCGCCTCGGGCGCCGTCCACTTTATAGGGAAAATATTACCTATAGCAGTGCAAAAGAAAAAAAGAGAGTATGCCAAATAGTTTTCAGAATAGAAACAATAAAAAATAGAACGGGGGAAAATCTTCAACAACAGTTAGAATTACAATGATAGTTATGAAGAATAACACACAATCTGTACATTTTTTCCATTGTTACTAACACCATTTAATGAAAGTGAAATTAATTCTAAAACGATTATAACAACTATTCTGCAGATGGTTGTAAAAAAAATTGTCTAGGCTCTTTGTGCTTCTCTGTTTGCAGAGGATCCTTATAATTACGTGTATGACTTTCAATGATATACGATTAATTCAGGAAAATATGTTCCGTAAAAGTACCAAACATCAGTGCACGTACCCATCATATTCATATGCGGGTTTTGGTAATCGTACCCCTCGATGATTTTAGCCAATCCAAAGTCGGCAACCTTCGCGATGTTTCCGTCACCGATGAGGATATTTCTTGCTGCCAGGTCTCGATGAATGAAACGCTTCGTTTCTAGATAGGCCATTCCACTGGCAACCTAGGTTATGATGTAAAAAGAAGGAATTCAATACATTTTCTATGATAAATGAAAACCGATGAATTGATTTTCCTGGACAGGAATTTTGAGAAAAAAATTTCACGCTTTAAAGCAAGTTGTATAACACATAACACATAACTTTAAAGTAGAAAATTTCTAATGTTTACATCTATTTCTCAAACAAAACAAAAGAAGCCAATAAAGTGTCAAAGTTGATTTTACAGATATTTCCTGTATGTGCCATTTTGGTTTCACAAGACTATGGAGACCTGCCTTTTACATTTCAACTTAATACAAATGATTTACATTTATTAATAATTTACCTGTGCAGCTATGTCTATCAGATTGGGAAGTTTAAGTTTCCTCCCTTCCTTATTTTTGAGAAATTTTGCGAGACTGCCTTTCGTCACATATTCCGTGATGATGTAAATGGGCTCATCTTGTGAGCAAACGGCGTATAGACGCACAAGGTTGGTATGTTTTAACTGGCGCATAATATGTGCTTCTACCATAAACGACTGAGGCGACATTGAACCAGGACGCAGTGTTTTCACGGCAATAAATGTATTCTTGTTCCATGTTCCTGTTTATCAGAAACACAATATATTTATCAACTTATTTTGTATTATCTGGCGTCTTATTTAGAGTTAATCACGCATTGGTCTATATGATATGAGAGAGTATAAAAATAAATAAATATGTGTTGTTTTATCTTTTTATGTATAAATTATTTTTATATTCCGTCAAATATAAAATTATTCAAAACTATTACAACCTTGGAAAGATGATATGTGATTTAAAGATATACTCCAAATGTTCAATCGTAACGTCTATTGCACCTTTCCAGACGGTCCCAAAATGGCCTTGACCGACCTCCGCAATGAACTCAATAGTGCCCCGGTCGAGTTCCCAATCCTCCTTTGTTTCCCGAGACATATCATACAATACTGGTTGTGGAATAGGGCAAGGTGCTGTGAGGGTGTGACATAGAATTCCCTTGTCGTCTAAAATATATTTTGTACCATTGTTACCACAGGATGTAAAGTATTGTGAAATTCGTAGCATTAAATTACCCCGTGTCTCGTTTCGGTTACAAATAAAAGTATAAAAATTGAGACTAAAAATAATCTTCGAATTCAATCAAATATCGGTAAAAGATTGGTGTGCATCATCAAAAGCTCAATGGGAAAATCCTCGTAACTGATCGTGTCAATGATATCTAAAAAACGATAACATTTGTACAAAATTTTGACAACTTTTTTATTTATGAAATATGAAAACGCTTTGTAAATAAATGTAATTATGATAATTTCGGAACTGGGTTGGCATATAGAGTAGAACAAGGTCAATGCATGTATTGCAATGGTAAGTCTAGACAAGGCGATTGCCATGTTCTGGAAAGCAGTAACAGTACTCAGCTTTTTAAAGCCAAAAATTACATATTTAAGCGAGGTGTTTATTTTTTATTTTGTGTGAATTCTGCAATTCAAATGATGTTGGTGTAACATACCCATGTAGTGCATCACCAGCTGAGGGAGACTCTCGAAGGAACGCTGGAGAGTGAGGTAATAGGACAAAGCTCCATTTTCTACTGTTTCTTTCAATCTATAGTGTTTCACCGACTCGTTGTTGTTGTCTTGGTTGTATCTCATCGACAGAAAATAACCCTCTGGTTGAGAAAGAACACAAGTAAAAAAACATTTATTTCACTTACACAATGTTTTTTTTATAACAATGGTCAAATACAAAAATTATGTTCAACTTACATCAATTACTCTTACTGGAGTTTGACGGTGAAAGGAAACCCAGTATCAGTGGGGTCTCCCATTCGGGAAGGTAACCTTGTACATTTCACATCTGATAGGCGAATCAAACCCCGGTCACCTCGACTTTATCAAATAGAATACTATACAGTTTGAAAGGAAAACATTGTATTTAAAGGCGCTATTAACGTTCATTTTTCGAACTGGAAAAAATAATGCATTTCATACTTACTAACTCCCGTCTCTGGTTTTCGTATTAGAAAAGTTCCCGTTATAAGTCGTGGTCTCATCAGCAGTCGTTCACTCTCACGTAAGGAAATCTGACCACCATACCACCTGAATACAAAATCACCATAGATACAACTCCATAATCAAAATGTTTTCTATTTTGATCGCTCGCTTACGTGTTACTTAAGGGGGTTACAAGAATGGCGACTGTGTTACGATACCACCGGTAATAAAAAAAAAATACATTTTGCCTTCCAATAGAATTTTATGAATATACATTAAAGTATGGAAGAAAACAAGTCAATAACCGTTTTACCGTTCTTAGCCTTGTTGACTTACGGATATATGTTCATGGTTCCCTCCCTCGCCACATAGGCAGAAGGTATGTAGCCCTGTCGTGTCCCATGCTTCTGTTTGGCCACCCACCAGTCGGCCTCTTTACTGCAACACCGAGTTGGCAATTAAAACATGCAGCTGAAAATATTCCTATGTAGGTACGATGCAAGCACCATCTTGTGTTTAGAATTAACATGATTAAGCTAACACATAAAGCAAAATCTGTTCAAGTAGAATTAAGCTTTAGCACATTTTAAAACAATATTTGTTTGCCAGAATTCATCTGCGTAATACCTGTGAATTGTAGTCTACCTCATACAGGATTTCGCAGCTGCATACAATTTAAACTATATAGACAAATATGAATTTTCAAATATAGACACATTCTTACACTGTATTTGCCGTAGATTTCACTAAACATCAATTTTGAAACAAAACATTGAGCTTATTTGCCGCAAATATATAAATATTTTCCTTTCTAGAAAGAACTTTAAAGCGCCTCTCAAGTAGAGAGTAAATGAATAGACTCGTCCTCGAAAGTGAAGGAGTAAGAACAATACTGCCAAAGGGAACTACCACCATGTTGTTATAGTAACCTACGTAAAAACATTCAACTCAAACGAGAAACACATCATCGGAAGAGGAGAACATCAATTCGCTTATTTTCATCCTAGCTGGACAGATATCTGCTGAATACTACATCAGTTTCAGGCTGCAGTCTTTACGGAACAAATGACAAATTGACAACCTTTGTCTGATGTAAAATTCCGTGGTCAACAAATTTGAGGGATGTAAAACCTGGCATTTATATTACGTACGCGTCTACTAATAAAAGGATTTCGCCCCTTCTTATGTCCATGTCTCCCTTCATCCTGGCCTGGTAGTCATGGAGGACCAGAAGGTGACTGTCACGGGCTGTAACAAATTACATATTAAATAAGATAGTCATAAATACGAGTATATCTCGAATGACGAAGGTTACATGTTCTGTGCATAATATTTGCTGATTGCTCTCGAAATAGCAGTGTATTTACACTTTCTGCGTTAAGGGTTTTCTATTTTTATTACGTAGCTACATTGCTTTAGTGGTATGCCATTAATTTCTTTATTTTCTAAATGTTTCATATATTTGTAATACGCCCAAGCGGAACTATGACTTGCTGAAAATTTTATTTGTTTCCATAATGATATCATAACTTGCTGGCGTCAAATGACATTGTGACGAAAGAGATGTACAGTGCGAAAATAACGATTGCTCTCACTAATGATAATAAATGCGCCACTTTTCAGGTCTTTGGTGACTAACACCACACCTATACTGTATAGATTACATGCAAAATTTGCCGAAACGGGATAAAAACTTAGATATTTCGTCTCGTTTGACAAATGTAGTATGAGTACTATTAAATGTCATTAATTATTAAATAATAGCATATCGCTTACAACATAATCGAACAATGTCATTTTACCATACTGCTATGTGTTGATTTGTACAGTAAACCCCGTTAATCCGAACACATCATTCCAAACTCAGATTGATTTTCGTATATTTTGTATGATTAGATTAAACAAACATTTCCGGTCTAGCTTCCGTTTGTGACAGTAGTATAATTACCTGGTCCACTGTAGTTTTCTTTCTTTTGTGCTTTCGTTGGTGCCACTTCCGTTCTGCTAGTCACAGCAGTCTTCACACTGGACATCGAGTTTGGCATACTCGCTGTCAATTTCAAAATCAATTTATATTTAAATTTCTTGCTGTCATTTTATTTATTTAATTATTTTTCTTCAAATGATACACTGGTGACCGTCTCACTTAATACGAATCCGAATATATCTATCTATCTATCTGTATATTGTTAATACCATATCCGGAATACTTAAACGTCTGATTTTGAAATATTGACTTTTTTGTTTTCAAATAAGTTACTTTAAGTATGGAAAACAGCTGCACTTAATTAAACTAATTTTTGTATTTATATAATTAATTCATTGAAAGCACTAAGTTTTACATATAATCATTAATTTTCACATATTTATTCACATGCTGCACTAAAAAAATACCCGTCCATTTCTCTCCTTAATGTCTTTCCTGAAAATCAACAATACCCGTATGTACCGTTGTATGCATGTATGTATGTATGTATGTATGTATGTATGTAGGTATGACCATTGATAGACCAGTTTGTGTGTAGATCGCGAGGTCACTACCTATATCTCCGGTAAAGGGTGTATAGATATTAATACATTATAAATTTACCTGCTACTGGTCTCGGCTTACTTGGTGCTTTCGTCTTATTTAATTTTGGCTGTTTTATTTCTGAAAGAAAAACAATTATTCTAGGAACCTTTACAACAGCATGAAGGTAATTTGATATAAACTAAAGGAATATATACGTTGATATCTTTATAATTTCAGAACTGTTATTGAACTATTTGTATTATGTGAAAATTTAATTCGATTTGGCAACTTGACACATTAGCTAACATTAGTATGTCCGAAGTTTTTTAAACATTTGATCGTTTCCAAAATCAACTTTTAAACTAAAATCATGTCCGTTGTTGCTTTGCTGTTTCATCATTTCATAGATATCTATCATATTAAGATAAAAGCATTCTATTTATTTTAGTAAAATGTTTTCAGATCAGATTCCCTCTCTCTTTCCATTTGAAGCACCAGATGTAATCAGCGTTTATGACGTCGTTACCTGGTGAGGCAGTGGAGTTGTCAGATCCCTTTGCTGCTGGTACTTTCTGTGGTGGTGATCCCTCACTCGGTTTCTTTCGTTTCGTTGTGGTTGTGACTTTAGTTGATCGCTCTGTGATTTATCAAGTTAAAAAAATCAGGTTATAATCATATATATATAATCTCTTGTTCTCAATCATTTTGTATTTTGCTTAAGAATAATTATATAAACATGGATTTCCAAATTTTAGACAGGTGCGATATTACGTTTTCATTCGATATTCTGCGTGAACGCCTCAGAATACTCTTCTGTTGACACGATAGGTAAAGCACCTGCCTTTTATCAATACAAACAAATAGTAGACAAAGAATGGCTTGAAATAGAAATAACTTTCTTATTTCAGCTGAGGACTAAGGTGTTGGTATTGAAAACGATATCTTATTTAACTTTAATACGTTTTTCCGTCAAATTCCATATGATATTGTGATTTTCTGTATTAACAACAAAACAGTCCAAAACAAAGCGTACCTGGTTTGTCGACAGAAGACCTTACGGGCGTGGGGATAGTTTCGTTACTCTTCGGAGCACCGTCGATTGTAAGCAAGTTCCCGTCCATGTAGGTCTCATCTCTTGGAGTGTTCTCATTCTTTGTGATCGTCTTCGGCTTCTTTGTTGCTTGTGCCTTAGGTGGACTAGCTTTGGATACAATGACTTTCTTCTTCTGAGTGTTGGCATCTAAAAGTAGTAGGTGACAAACTGGAATGGACAGACTATACGTCGTGTTCTTTTCATACTGAATGGCTACAAGGTTATATTGTGAATCACTGTCCCCAACTCTTCTACAACTTTTAGCTTAAGGTGACATAGGATTTCAATTTGGTTTTGGTATACAGAATTTTTTTCATTAAAAAGTGTGATTAAGTGGCGAGATATACATTGGTGTAAGGTTATTTAGGAGGTTACATTACTTGGGCATAAGGACATAGTTTAGATTTTTAACTTTGAAATCTTGGAAATCTAAATCTAAATAAAAATATCATAATCGACATTACGGTTACTAAATTTTTTTTGTTTAGTATTTGTGTTATTCGTCTTAACTGTATGATTCTAGTTTCTTGCACAAATAAAGTGTCTGGTCAGTATAATGTTATACTAACACAAATTTTATTAGCGGAGTTATGAAAATCAAAGGATCAGTTTATTGAATGGTCCTAGCAGTCAACATTCTATGATAATTCTGGAGAAGATAGAAACACAAAATACATAACATCGTAAAGCTCTGACATATCAGATCGGAAGATCAAAGTAATATAGCATAATCAGCGACTGTATCAACTGTGAAGTTGTGGGGCCATGTGCGATATAATACGGAAAAATAACATTTAACACTTGTGAGAAATATGAGCTTCTTCAACCATGTCATAAAACATTACACCAGATTTTCGTCTCAACATTATGCTAATAGTGTCGTCTGTAAGGGGAGACAACCGCGTAGGCTAGATTTTAATAGCTACGACTTACCTGTTTGGACTTCAGTGGTGTAACCAACAGGAGACTGTCTATTGCTGGGCATATTGTAATCCTCCTCAGGAAACACAATCTGCTTCTGAGGCTTGCCCGTCTTGCTGGTGGTATTTTTCACCTTTACCTTAGCCTTGCCGGCCCCTCCGGGTTTCGTCTTGTCCATGATAAAGTATGTTTGCTACTAACCTACATAGCAACGATAAAGGAATATGTCTTATATTTGATCACAGTGACAGCAAAATGATATACACTGTAGTTTTTTTTCTTTGTGAAATAAAGCGGTAAACAACGGGGTAAGAATAGACTTGAGCAATTCAAGAAAAGTGGTTGAATGTCACGTCTTACTCTGCATGGTTTCATTATGCATTTTCCTTGCAGTTTCCTAATATCTAATGAGTACATACATATCAATTGTACTTCTAACAACGATGGTCAGGAGAGATATTGAACATAAATATAACCTCTGTTTCGTTGATGGATTAATGCAAACTCTACGTTGTATTCCGTTACATATTTCCCCCATATTTATATATAATATTAATGTTATAGAACTATATACGTTTTGTCCATGATAGCGACATGTGCGGCGATTGTTCTTCAATGTTCAATATCTGTACATCTGCCAATTTCTCTCAGTGTTAACGATCATTACCAAATAGAATGGTCAACTTACACGTGCTTAGTATTTCCAATTTTTTTTAAAAATTGTACATCAATAGTATTAGTTTAGTTCAGCATATACATAGACCAGGCCCCTTCTCATATAAAGTTGAAATTTTCTCTAAAAATAATCCTTTAAGTAAAATGACAGCGCCACTCGAATAATCCATGGAATTGTGTATTACCAGATTTTGTAAGCTGTATATATTCTTGATATTCTTTTTAATCAAAGTACACAGTTTACGAGGAGGTCAAAAATAACCCACATTGTACATGATAAGGAAATTTTACGCAATCAGGCCCGTACTAGTTTCTCGGGTGCTAATAGTCATTAATACAAATATATCGATGTTGGCTATTAGAATGTATCGGTGCTTTGAGAAATGGTTCTATTGCATTGCTATACTTTTCTACTCCAAAATAACATTAATCCTTACACGAAGACACGATCTTTAGTAAAATTGTCTGAATTAAATCTAGCAAGGATTACCAACAAACCAGAGATATCTTTTGTGGAATTAAATATCCATAGAGCCTAACAATAAATAATGACCCTTATAAGTTGATGTAAATGGATGAGTTGTTCTTACAATATCTCAAAAGCTCAAAATAAGAACTAGGCATCTCGGCTGATTAAGTCTTAACCGGGCATTTTAGTTGCCATGGCATAATGCTGAGATACAACCTAAACCAACTTAAGTTTATGAAGTGATATGTCAATTGCTTGGAGTTCAGCTGTCGAGTTTGATAAATATTGTGAACGATAAAGTTAACAAAAGAAATATTTGTGACATGCTCAAATATTGAATTACAAAACTTATATAAAATATCTAAATATAGTATATACTACATGTATGTCCAAGCTGCACAAAGAATACAACACCTGGCGTCAATCCAGCATTAAGCATATACACCGAGTCTCAAACGGTGGACTTTTCAGAAACCGAGTTACACCAAATACAAGTGAAAGAAAACAGTTGTTTAAAACTTTTTTTTACATCTTTAACGAGACATATTAGTTTTTAGTTTCAGACACATATTGATAACAATCCAGAATTGTACCATGACCGTTGTTCATAGCCGTGATTCGATACCGGAACTTATTTTTTATGTCATGTATACCCAGAGCATGCGTCAGGAAGTAAGAATCAAACTTGACTGACGTTTTAATCTGTTGGAGTCCTTAATGTCATATTGCCTCTTGAATCGGATGTTAAAAAATGGAAATATTCTATTGACAGAGTAAAAAGGCTACACCTTACCACTTAAGCTAAAACGTATTGGAGTGATTTTGATCCAGGTTTACTAAACTGTCATTTTAATGATAAACCTGCCCGTGGTTCTCTTGTTACGATTGTAATAATTTTCAATGAGCCCAACTAATTATACTTTCCTCTCCGAGTGATGCTATTTCACCTAATTTTCAGACTTTTATGAATGTCAAAGCTACACAGGGTACCTGGGAAAAACCCATGTGGTCGGTTAGGTGACCCCTATCCCTCTTCACGTAAGCTCGGAGAGTCGAAACAAATGCGTTACCTCCCTTCTTTTTAACATGACCATGTCGTCATCATCGAAGTCATGAAAAGATACGGTATATAGTATCTTATCTAATATCACTGTTAGAAACAATATCACTGACATGGGTCCACTTGTATGCTGACTGGAATTGCCCTGACAAGGAGTAGTTTGAGGGTATGGCAGTTTGTCTTCAGCTGATCTATACTGTTATATAAAACTATCGTAATGATTGGTCAACAGCATTAGTATCGTCATTTTAACTTCGTCCATCGTGTATCTGTGTCCATGAGAATATGACAAGCAGTGCGTCTCAGTATTGAAATGTGAGGATTTCGTTAACTTTATCAGTATCCACCGTGTAATTCTTTGCCAATTCAAGGAAGTAGATTAACGTTCTTTAAATATCGTAACATGAGAGATGAACACGATAGCCCTATTTTTTCTAAATATTAATAGACACACCCACCCTTCTCCTTTCCCGTTTAGTCTTAAACACTCTGGAAATCGTTTCAAAGAATTTTAATCCAACTGTGCCGTCGATGAGGCAGAAGACGCTTACTCACCCAGAACACGTAATCTTATTTTCCACATACTCTCAGTAATCTACAAATAACTTTGTCTTTTGTCCATGTTTTCTCCACGTTTCATCAGTTCTGCGTTGAACTAAGATTTTGATGGCATATCGTAAGATATATATATTTAATGAAACCGTGACATTTTATTTTGATTTTTCTTGCTTCAATTTTGTAAATCTTCTGGAAATTTTCATTATAGATACAGCCTGAAAATATCATTATCTAATTAAAAGTCTCGTTCATTAATGGCCATTTAGTATGTTATCATTTTATTCTGAGTGTCATAAGGATAGATCAGACATGTGGATAAAGTACTTCGTGAACCGTATATACATATCAATAGATATTTACCCGCTGTGTCCAATACCTCTATATTTGTGTGGAGAGGTGTTAAGCATGCCCGTGTAACAGATAAATATCGACTATTACTCCTGTACATAGTTATAATCCAACTTAGACTTTCCTTGCATGTATACTCACCACTTGACATTTTTCACCCAATCATTATTTTCAATACTTTATCGTCGAAGTAGTTGATTTAAGTTTAAAACTTTCACATCCTTTTTGAACCTTCAAAGTTCTTAAATGAATTAAAGAAGTTATATATTTTCCGTCTCGTATACAAATAGTTTTTAAAGTTGAAACTTCACATTGTAATCAAAATTCCACCGTCAAATGGCGCCACATATTTTTACAGAAAATTGTATCCGATTCCATTCCATCTTCACCCGAATACAGGAAACTCAGTATATATTCCAAAGATCAAATCACAGAGAAAAAAATCCCACTCCAAAATGAAAAAAACTTTTCATACGGTGATATTGACTTGTTTAAGTATCTAAGTTTACGTCATGTTTGACATTTCTCAGGAATCAAGCACTGATTTCATTCAAACGATAAAATTCCTGGTTAGATTCCTTCTCTTAAGTTTACAATCCAAAAATATGTTAATTTTCATGGTCTGAAAGTAATTGTATCGGGATTACAAAAACAAATATGAGTATTATTGAATCTTTCTCACACCGAACACTGATCCGTGTATCGTAACCGTGTAGAAAACTACACCGTATCAACCAGATATGTCATCTAGTATTACATACATACAGCTCGATACTAAAACACATCAAATGGTATTTAATTGAATGCAACGCTATGATTAGCTACCACACCGTGTGGCCATGCTCAGCTGATTAGAAAGATGTGCCGATAATGTCTTTTATGTGAGTATATATACGTCCTAGGTCGTCTCAATACGGCTTACAACAATAGTTGGACGCGAATAGCCCTTTAGTACGCAGGGCTGTTTATCGGCATCAAAACACAGATGTTGGTAACTTAAATACAAAACTCTCTAAATACCATAAAAAGCACGATTTGGAAATTCTAATTGTAGGAATATTGTTCTGTTATTTTTCCTTTAAGAAGTTTGAAAATTTAGTCTCTTTTTTTCTACCTTTAGAATGAAGATAAGGGGGTTAAAATAATAGGTATCAATTAAGTAGTAAATCAGGTATTGCGGTACCTGTTCAGTACGTGATAAAATCTATTGCGAACCGCACCGTGTGACGTACAACTAGTACACACGACAACTGTGTAGTCAATCGCTTATACTTATATAGACATGTGCGGAGTATATAGATAAATGTTTATATAGTGAGTTTGACCATCTTAGTTTCCCGACCCGGAATAAAACAAATTTCAAATTCAGAAGCATATATTTCCAAAATTAATTTCAATGTTAAGAATCAATGACAAATATTTGCAGTTCATTATAGCTTTAAGTTTTGAGAGTTTTATGTAAAATTTCACAGACCATGATGCATTAGTCTTCATATTGTGACGCATAAAAAATTATCTGTTTTCTTTACCACCATGTCAAGGTCAAATCAAAGGGTCAAATGTCATACAATGCTTTTCTAATCATATTTAAAGTAACGACTCATTTGGATAATAAGAAGAGATATGACTTTATTTTCTCAGCGGTTCGTTGTGATTTTAGGAAAATCTATATCAAGATGAATGTGTCCCACATTCGTGACTTCTTATGATAATTCATGTCACTACACGAATGTTAAAATCATATAACGGGTCAGCGTTGCATTCATTTTGAAAATTCTGAAGTGCCAAAACAGTCATATTGCGTCTCTCGTTAAATCTTGTATCATCCTCATTTCAATATTACAAGTAAAAAATTAAACATCAAAATAATTTAAATATTTCCGGGTATATATTCCTATATGACTTCAGAAAATCTAGACATATTATGAGGACGTTGCAATAGTTAACGCATTACATACAGCTATCCTGTAGTTACTATAAGGTCAGTTCCGTAAATACACGAAAATTCCAGTTATTTTCATTTACATTAGTCGAGATTTGTTTGAATGTCTTAACTTCCATTTTGTGA